GGTGAGAGGATTCACCAGAGACAGAGTGAGGAGCAGAACAGGCCGACTGACGAAGTATACTGCTGTGGGGGGCAGCGGGTGGGTCAGGAGAGGTCTGCCACACCATGTGGGTCACCTTCCGGGTGGAAATCAAACTCATGCTGAAGTGGCTTTAGCTTCTTAGTGCTGTGCTTTAACCTGCTGCGCCACCAGGGAGGGCCTGGAACCCCAGAATTTTTAGTGTTCCCAGCCCAAATGTCACATATATGAAGGAGTGAGCCTTCAAACAGTTTTATTATGATCCACCATCATCCTAACATATGAGAGGACAGTCCCCACTGAAAGAACCACCTCGTTGAGCCTCATCAATGCCTAGGATTATAAGATAATAAAATGACTGATGTTATTTTAACCTGGTAAGTATAAAGGTGATTTCTTCCAGGGCAATAGATAACTGAAAGAGTAGTTATAGTATAAAGTAATTTCCTGAAGTAGAGTTTGAAAAGACTAGTTTCAACTACTCATGAATATACAGCAAAGGAAATACTCGATTATCCATGTATATTTATTTATGCATGAAAATAGCCTACACAACACAGAGATTATTATTCCAGTCAACACAGAATAACCACACTCGGTTCATTGTCCCAGACAGTAGAGAATATAAAGCCTGAACTTAATGCATGAAGCAGCTATTTGAGGACTCTGAAGAAAAAGTTATGCTAGGTAAACTGAGGAAGAACACCAAAATTTGCAGTAAAACTGAGCAGGCAGTGAGGTCACCATTTTCTCCTCCAGTTCCCACTGAACTAGACTGAAGATAGCTCAGAAGCCAAAGGGAGTATCAGTATGGGCAGAGAGAGCACTGGGAAGAGCACATCTAATATTCAGAGAACATAGAGGAAATACACCATTGTTCTTTACTCGGTTCTCACCCCCTAGCCAGCAGGCAGTCCTCCCAGGCTGAGCTGACAATGATGTGGAAGGAGCTGTGCTCTAAAGTAGCTAAATATTGAGGGGTTAGAGTAACCCCTCTCTGGTTAGAGTAACTAGGGTCCCAAGACAATCAGGGCAAATTGATGATTTTTTTTTCATTCTTTGATAAATTTTTTTTCATGCTTTGTCCTCTTGCTGCTTGGCCCCAGACATGTGTAAGATTACAGGAAGTACACAGCAGAGAGGAGTAAATAAAGAGTCAGATGTCTTGCCAGAGGACTGAAAGGGGGAACTCCAAGGAACTGCAAAGCACCAGGGAGATTGTGCAGAGGGAGGAGCTCCCGCAAACAGCCCCATAAAGTTGTTTATGAACTCGTAGGTTCACCATGACCTGCTTATGGATTTGATCTTAAGCAGCACAAGGAAGACTGTGATAACTAAACTAAGAAACGTGTCATCATCCATCCTAGACTAGCTACAGGGCAAAACA